ACCCGCACCTCGCTCAGCCAGTGAGCGGGAACCGGTCTGTATGTGGGACCCGAACCCTCGGCGGGAGCGCCGCCGCGCTCCCAAGCGGTGCACTGTAGCAGTGCGCCACCGGGCTGGCCCCACATACATAACTTTTTAATTGTTGAAATCAAAGCCTAAATAAAAGTTTTTGAACACATAAACTATACCTACCTGACAGCTAGTTTGCTTTGTGGACAAGTATCTCTTTCGAGGTGTGCACATAATGAACCTTGATGATCAAAAGATTCTCTGAGTCCCTGGAGACAAACTGGCTCATTTATTTGTTAAGTAACTTTTGATGAAAGAAAAAGAAATATTGCTTCCTTAGAGGAAAAGGAGGTAAGACTATGCTGCTGGGTGACAAGCATCTGCTTCTCTCTAGCTTCAGTTTGCCAGCATTATGATCTATCCTAGTGTTGTAAAGTACTCCCAAAGACATTTGGACACCTGTATGTTCTTAACGTTTTCATTGTTTACACAGGAAGTATATGTGCAGTATTTAAGAAATACAAGTTGTTACAGATGATGGCTTTAAATTAATGGTAATTACCTACTGATAAACGGATATCATTCCCCAATTCCAATGTATTTACCTCTGATCAGTCCTCAAATTTTTTTATATGAAGAACCTTTTATAACCTTGAGTAAGAGATATTTTTAATTATGTTATTCATTCACTGAACATTTGTTGACTTTTGCTGGGCAGTTTATATGCCTATATTTTAATCCTCACAACAGCTTTATGCGATAGTTGTCAGTCTCATTTTACAGATTAGTAAATAAAGGCTCCAAGAGAGTAAGGTAACCACGGAGCTGTGATCCCAATCTAGAGGGGTCCATGGTGTGACTCCATAGCCTGGACCAGGAGGCTTCTTAGGCTTCTCAGGCTTCTCCTGTGTATTTAAGAGTCATTTTACATCACTTCAGCTGTATCTTCCCTTCCTGTTCTCATGTTCCAAAATAAGTATACTAAAATGCAATTCAACCAAATGGTAGAGGGGGGATGAGGCCAGATTGGGACAGATGAGAATTATTACATAAAAGAGAGAAATTTGTGTTATAAAGCTTCCCGAAGTACCGGACTCTTGCATGAAGAGTTAATTTGTCCCTCTGCGGTACACATTTGTTATTCCAGAGGCCGGTTCCTGATGACCTTTGGGGAGTCCCTCCAGCTGATGTTTCCTTGGCCAGCCTCCCTGGTAGTGTCACTACTAAGAGCACCAAAAAGGTAGCTCATCATTTTAGTCACTAGTATTGTCACACCCTTCAATTGAGTATGATGGATTTTGAAAATCTCCTTTTCAAAAAAGTTTTTTTTTTTAAAGAAATAACCATTATGAAACTAATACAAAACTTACCCAGCAAATTGTTAAATGTGAAGATATTAAAATGTCCATTTAAAATTCATCAGCTGCAGCATGGTGCAGTTACAGTAGCTATGCTAGGCTCTCTGGAGCTCAACTGCCCCTCTTCTTCCTGAGTGTGCTGTGACTGAAGTGATGTCACCTCACTGTAGGCTTCAGTTGCCTCCTTGGCAAAATGATAATGACTTATCTGACTGAGGCAGGGTGCTAGGGAAGAGACCCTTTGAGGACTCTCCTTTTATCTAAGCCCCAAGGTTTTTAACAAGTGTGTTTAATCCTTTTGGGTTTTGTGGGTTGTAGGGATCATACTTAAAGCCCCATTTTAAATGCAGTTTCTGTAGCTTCCAACAAGTTAGACATTTGCTTCCGGGCAGAGCATGGTATCCAGACCTGGCCAAGGGTATTCTTTGGAGGTGACTGTAGGAGGAGCAATACCAGATCACTCTCCTTTCCTGCCTGAGTTACAGGGCCAGCACCACCTCAGTGGCTGGTGATGGGTATGAAGGGTCTCAGAAATGGAATCCGGGACCTGGAAGGGAGTCAGTGGCTGGAAAGCCTGATTCCAGAACCAGCTGCGGATTGTTCCTTGCTTCTCTTCCTGAGAAGGTCCATTTAGGATGTCATTAGAGGTTGGGGGACTCCACTTCTCCCCCAGAAAACTGAGGAAATTGCTGGGTGAACCACCTTGAGTCACCTTGGTCTGGCCCTGTCTGAGTCACACCACGTCACCGGACCAGCACAGACTTTTGGTCCCAGTTTTGCATGTGTCCCAAAGAAAAACAGAACATTAAGGGCCGGCCCGGTGGCGCACTGCTACAGTGCGCCGCTTGGGAGCGCGGTGGCGCTCCCGCCGAGGGTTCGGATCCCACATACAGACTGGCCGCTCACTGGCTGAGCGAGGTGCGGGCGCGACACTGAGGGTTGCAATCCGTTGCCGGACACGAAAAAAGACAAAAAGGAA